GAGACAGAGACAGATAGAGAAAGAGAGAGACAGACAGAGGCAAAGGAAAGCTCAGGACTGTATTGGTTGGAAACATGTAAAAGAGGCCTTCATCCCGCAGTGGATAGACAATGGCTAAAATGATGATCTCACACACACACACACACACACACACACACACACACACACACACACATGATAGTTTGTATTTTTATTATATATATATATAATGATAATTTGTATTTTTGCAGATATATATATGCAAAAATACAAAATATCATCTATAACTAAAAGATGAAGGGGGAAGGAGTACGATGAGTGGTGAGGGGCCAGAGATGGGATTTGTTGTTCATCTAGCAACCACTTGCATCGTGACACTTCCCCATTGGAGCCTCAGGACAATATATAATGACTTTACTATTCAATTCAATATCGGATGACTCTCCTAATCAGTGGGGAAATTAGGTCACATAACAGTAGTATATATATTTCAAGAAATTCAATGTTTTGGACTGGGGCCTAATTATAAGATTTCTAAGTTTTTATATCTATAGGACATAGGGACATTTTTTTAAACTGATATACAAGAATGTCAGCTGCATAGTGCAGAAGAAAGATCAAACACCAGCTATCAATTTTTCTAATAGTTATTATCACTTGTATTTATTCATAATATTTGTCATAACCATAACCGTGATATGATGCAATTCTTTTGTGCAATTTTTATTTTTGTTAGATGCCTTGAACAGGCAGGATATAAAATAAGTAAAAGAATAAATAGCAGCGTGTGGAGAAAGGGATCTCCAGTTGCAAATAGCTTCTAAATTTTAGGAACTATTTGTGTTACAACATGCTTTGAAATAAATTCTCTGCGTTCCAAGGATTTTTCTCCCGTAAAGCAGCTGGCACTTGAAACAATTAATATTAAGCTGTAAAAATGTCAAGCACCCAAATTTAGCTTCCCTTATAGGGGTGCTCATCTGGCTCATATCACTGATCAAGTTGGATACTAGGCCATATTGGTCATAAATAGTTGCTAAAGTGTCCTTCCCTTCTCAGATGTCTAACAGCCTTTGTGAAGTTGGATTCCACAAGTGCAAATAATTATTCTGACTTCCCAAAGAGCTGATGGTCACTGTCTGCAAGTCTACTCAGGTTGGCAAATGTCTGCCTGGACATTGTGAAACTTTCTCCGGAATATTAAAAAAAGAAATAGGTGTTTTTCATAACTTCTCAGATTGTCTCTCCGAGTCATGGCATCGTCTTTTACTAGATTGAACTTGATCTGTTACATTGGGTGTCTGTCTTTGAGAAAGCTTCTGGAGGCAGCTCTTTTCATTTAGCTTCTGTGCCTGGATGTAAATAGATATAATGGCTACCGCCGGCAGAAAGAAGTCTTCTTTATCAGTAGTAAAATCCTTGGCCAAAAGGTTTGATCCTAATGCTTTACAGAATCGGCATGTCTCACGAAGAGGGACCTTTTTCTACTCTCTTTATTAAGGACAAATTTCTGCTCTCCTGAAAATAAATGTGTGTTGGCGGCTTCCGTCAGTCAGGAAATTTGTGCGTTGCTGACAATGTTCTGCAGGGGTTAGATTAGAAATCTGATCTATGGAAAGAAATATCGAACTCTTGAAGGAAAATGGAAGAAACTGGCAAGACACCACCTGCTGCCCCGTCAAAAACTTTAATGAGCTCTGATAGGAAGCTGGTATGTGCAGACATTAAAAAGAAGTTTTCTGAAATGACGAAGAATGGTGAACAACATAAACAAAGATTAGAAGGAGTTGAACGAGTGATCCTGGAGGTTCAGCAACATGTTGGTTCTTTGGAAGGGGAATTAAAGACTTCTACAGTCACTGATCCCATATGCAGGAAAGAAGCCCCTTATAAGCTCCTTAGAGTTGGTGGCAATTTGAAAAAAGATAGGCTAGAAAGTTGTTTCAGAATGCAGATGTTCTCAGAAAAAAAGGAAACACTGTTCAGCAAATGGAGTGAAAAGGTAAGTCCAGGGTTGCATTGCTGCTAGGGCCCTATTGTGTTTGTATCTTGTGTTGCTTGCTTGTTAACGATAGGAAATAATCTGACTTTACTTTTGAGAGTATTTTGAGAGTACGTAAAATTAGAAGCAGAATTAATAGTGCAAACAAGGTGTTAGCTGCTGTTCATTCTAGAAACCTTAATTAAAGAAAAAAATCCTTTCCCCATTGCCTTTGGCAACAAAACTCTTTTAAATTCAGTGTGGTGTAATTAGTCAAATTCTAACCAAATGCTACTTTTCAAGCTCTTGGAATATTACTGTATAGGACTTTTACTCCAAACTGAAAAATAATGTAAACTTATCTCATTCCAGATTTTATACCAAATTATCAAAACTTACAAGCAAATAAAAGACGGCAGTAACATTTAAAATTGAAATAATTGAGCTTTTAGGTATTATATTTTATTAAATGCTTGTAATCATCAAAACTGTCACTTTCTTTTTCCAGTCCCTTTGTATTTCTAATTTGCTTATAAGTTACACGGTTTGTAAAAGAATGACCACCCTATCTAGGTAGTCCTTGACTTACAACAGTTTATTTAGTGACCATTCAAAGTTACAACAGCACTGAAAAAAGTGACTTATGACTGTTTTCCCCACTTACAACTGTTGCATCATCCCTTTGGTCACATGATCAAAATTTGGATGCTTTGCAACTGGTTCATATTTATGACAGTTGCAGTATCCCGGAGTCACGTGATCACCTTTTGAGATCGTCTGCCAAGCAAACGTAATGGGGAAGCCAGATTCACTTAACAACCATATTACTAACTAAAGAACTGCAGTGATTCACTTAACTGTGGCAAGAAAGGTCATAAAATGAGGAACTAGAGGAAGAGAGAACATGTGAACCGAATGTTTAAACTGCTTATACTTAACCTAACCTAGACTATGATACAGTTTTACTTGTGAATTAGGCCATGAGGTAGTGAATGTATTTCTTTACTCACATCCCATTATTTTTTAGGTTCTACAAAGACCTAGAAATGTTCACATGATATAAGATTTAAAATGAAACAAAATTAGTGAACTTCAAAGAAAACTCCATCAGTATCTTCCACACTCACCCCCCAAAAAAATTTGGATTTCCCATGTTTAATATGTAGACCATTCTTACTTCAATCAATTCTGGCACAAAAATGCAATGGTAATATTTATTTTCTGGTACTGTTTTTATCTTGTCTCCACCATTTAATTTATTTAACATGAGAATCTATTACAAACTATTCACTATTTCTTACCAATGGAGTCAAAGGACCTTGGTGTGATTTAAATACATTTATTTCTTTAAAAAAAAACATAGCCATCCATCTTAAACTTGCATAATTCTGGGCAATGAACAATAGATACAAGATATCTTTCTTCCTCCTGGTATATGAGTACACCTCTGATCTCTAATTGGGGAAAAACAAATATGGCAGTGTTGCATAACTTTTATGGACAACAGGCGTCCTTGCTCATTCTCATAAAATAGCTATCCTCATTATTTTTCCTCATTATTTCCCCCCCCCCCCCATGGCTTGAAATCTTGTAACATTGTAGTAATCTCATGATAGCACATTCTTATCTGAAACCAAAAGGAGTGTATGGAAGAACACCAACAATTAGTGGGATTTGGCAGATTTTGTAAGTTGTTAATCATTTTTAAAAAGTATTTAAGAACTTGTTGGGGATCCACAGAACTCTACACAGATATCTTAGTCTAGAATCTTGGCACCCAAGGGCAATACATTAGCATACAGTATAAGAAATTCACCCTTAATATGTTTGGAGATAGCGATCCTATTGGTCTTTCTTTGAGTGTAAAGACCTGGCTCTTTTCCTGATCATTAGGCCAAAGTCGTGTTTGAGCACATTCTGTGGTACATGTGCATATTTTTACAACCAGCCTCAATTATGTTTTGGGTTTGAGGGCTTTTTTTTTCTTTGCATTGTATTTATTCTTTTTTTGTTTGTTTTTTACACTGCCTTGAGTCACAAGTTGTGAGAGGGTCATCTTTATAAATCTTTTAAATTAAAAATATAAATAAATCATTTTCTAGCTAGTTTCTTCTTGTATGGCAATTAAAGGTAAGGATTTTCTCCATTAGGGTTGAAGTTTTGTTTGCAGCCAAAATCTAAAAACTGGAGGGGGGGGGATAAAATAGAAAAGATTTGGGATTTTTTTTTTCTGAGTAATGGGTGTATAGGAGTAATAGCAGAATCTGGGGACAGAGTCAAAAGAGGAATCACCCTAGAGTCTTTACATAGCCACAAACAAACCAAGTCCAACTTCTCTTGAATTCCAAACTCCACCAATGTTTTCACTTTTATTCCAAGTCCTCATTTGTTTACTTTGAAGTAAATCAAAAGTAATTTGGGGGGCTGTATACTATGTGTTCAATATAATTTATTTGGCCCTCCAGATCTGCCGAATGATTGATCTTTCCTACTCTCCATTTCTTTTTCCTTTCCACCATCCAGTAACCTATTGCACATATTCTCTTGGTACCCATTTTAAGTGGTATCATTGAGAAAACCTAGTCTTTCCAACTTTTCTGAGAAGATAGTTGTAGTGAGTTGTAGTGAAGCCCCTTCAGTTTATATCAATAGGATGCCATTGATATAAACTGAAGGGGCATCCTAAGATTCAGTCTGTGAATCTGCATAAGAATATTGTCTCTGCATTTTTTGCATTTCTCTGAATGACATATAAGAATGTATCTCCCTTCCATACTTCTTACAAAACTACTTGAATTTATTTTTGGATAGGTAGAATATGATTAAGATCTTTGGGTTTAGGTTGCTCTTGTCCTTTGAAATCATTATCAGCTAAGTTAACAGGTGATGTTTATGTAAGCTAGCCAAAATACATATTTAGTTTAGGGACAATATGTTCTTGCATATAATATATTTATCTTTTCATAGCGTCAGTCTAGATTTCTTTAAATGAACAGCTGGTAGGACCAGCAGATTTTAGCTATGCTCTGCCTACCCTGATTTAGCTTTACCCTGTTCCTCTCTTAATCCAGGCCATTTATATATAATCATTTTTAGCCAATGGTTTATGCTTGTGATTGAAAGCACAATTACTCTAGAATATGATTTTTAAAAATCATGACATGGATTTTTCTAGATAAATATCAGCTTCCTTTTTAATTTGGACTAAGACATTAAGAATTTTAATGCACATGCTTTCAAAAACATGTACATTACTTCTTACTTCTAAAGTATTAAGAAAATAATGATGTATTAATACCACAGTTTGAGCCAGTAAATTCAAGGCAAAATAAACTTTAATCTTTGCAGGTATGGAAGGCTCATATCCACTGCCAGTTCTCCTGGCTCCTTTAACGCCAAGACTGGCAAATGTCAAGGACAAAATGTCCGCTCAAATTATGAAGCCCTAAGCAAGGAAAATACAATTATAATTTGGATATTGTTGAGAGGACTGAGCAATTTTCTATGCTAGATTTCCAGGGAAACCAGGATGCTTTCTGTCTCTGTGGGATCAGGCCCAAACCTGTGCTAGAAGAGATAAGAAAGTGCTGATGGTTGAAAGTGTAAGTTGTCCAGGCCTCAGATGAACCTTTGTAGGGTTGGAGCAATATTGCATTTGCCCCATCATCTAGTTAAATTTTAGGAACACTGAGCACTGTGAACCGGCACAGTTGTTGGGCGATACATTCTATGCTGAATTCCCCACAGGAAAATTCAGTTTTCTTCAGCTGTGGTGAATTATTTCCATGCTTTCCAGTCACTAGCTATCGGCCAATGCTATTCTAAGCCATTTCTGAGAAATGAGACTGATTCATTTCCCATTCATTTCCAAATATGCAAAAGTGGAAGAGCACATGATAAATGGTTTCTCTAAGTCAGGGGTCCCCAACCCCCGGTCCGTGGACAAGTACTGGGCCGCAGCATGACAGCAACCGGTCCACACAAACAAACAAAGCCCCATCCGTGGGATGCAGGCAACACACAAAACCACGCCCCCTCTGGTCCACGGAAAAACCTCTCTCCATAGAACCGGTCTCTGGTGCCCAAAAGGTCAGGGACCTTTGCTCTAAGTGCTTGATCTAACATCACACAACGAAATTGAATGGGATATTCTAGGATGGGTGATAGTTGCCTTCCTCTGGTTTTCTGATACAAAAACCTTAGTAGAACTTCTTTCAAATTATATAGCTCTTACTGCAGGACAACTCTCATCTTTTTCGATACTGCCATACTGACTAGAATGGGTGAAGTTGGAGTTAGTGAAGTAAAGCAGGGTCCCCAGCCCCTGGGCCATGCCCCACTACTGGGCCATGGGCTATTTGGAATTGGGCCACATGAGTGGCTGGCCGGAGTGCTCATGCGCACGTGCAGCTTGGCTTGCATGAGCAGCGGGCTGGAGGGCAATTGCACCAACCCACTGCTCACATGGATCATGTTGCATGCGTGCATGTGTGTCGGCCTGCCACTCAACTAAGGGCTGTGCACACGCACACATATGAACACCAGTCTACTGCTCACGTGGCCCAGTTCTCCTTCCAGCCGGGCGCCGCGCCACAAAGGATGGGGACCTCTGAATAGAATCATTAGTTGTTTTCTTTTCTTTAGGACTATTCATCTAAGCAAATGCATCACTTTAGGACTATTCATCTAAGCAAATGAATCATTTATCAAGTTTCGTAAGTTTCAATTTATTGGTCTTCATCACCTCTGTTATGGTGATCTAGATACTAGTTCCATACACCCATTGCTTCTGTTTTCTTGAAATAAAAGATGGAGAAATATAGATTATCAATATGGAAAAAAGGACAATTCCTACCAGCATGGAGGATAGACAATTGCAGCATTGCTCTCGGGTAACTTTTCTTATTGTATCTGATTTGTTGTTTTGGATATTATTGTATTTGTTCTGGCATGTTATTGTTAATCACTCCAGTTGTCCATATAAAAGGGAAAGATCTGCGCGAACATGAAACACAGTTAAA